GTGGGGGCTTTGGGGAATCTCTGCTGCTTGACCAGTGCAAATCTGTAAATGTCTCTAGGCTCTGGGAAGCTGTGGTTCTATGAAGGGCTTCTCTTGGTCCTACCACTAATGCCCTATGTGACTTAGGGAGCATTTCTTACCCTCTCTGACCAGCAGAGCTAGAGACCTAAGTCTGCTTCATGCCTTGTGAGCAAGAGATCCTAATAAGGGTTAGTTGTGACTCTTGGAACATTTTAAAGCTTTGCAGTGGCCCCACAACTCCAGGCAGCCCTTTCTAGTTTGATACCATGGGGCAATTACTCAAAGAACTGAAGAGTCAGCGTCCATCCCACAGCACTTCAGCTTCAGCCCCAGGCAGGACATGACCCAGTGTCATTGCTCTAAAACATCACCCAGATGTCCCCAGGTCACCTCACAGGGCCTGGGGTGGATGGAACACTGGACTGCCGCCGAGCATCGCTCTTCACTCCTGGCCTTTCCTCTCAGAGGACTGGAAAACACGGGCCCTTCCAACTCAAACACGAGCTAATGGGGCTGGTACGCAAGCCTGGGCACAAGGGAAATAGTGTTTCCTGATTCCGGCCCTTGCTGATTAGACGCATCCAGACGGTGTGCTTCCTCTGGGGGGAGGTCCAGCAGTGATTGCTCCTGAGTGACTTTGCACTCAGCTCTGGTGAACACTCGAGGCTAAGCCACGGCGAGGAGATGTGCCGCATATACTTCTGAAGCAGAGCCTTCTTTGCCTTAGAGCCTACAGCTTGGACTCAGCCTGAGTCAGCACAGGCTCCCAGAACATTGCTGGGGAAACTCATGCCATTGCCCAGGCTCGGTGTGTGTTCCCAGCCTCACTTCTTCCCTCTTAGAAGCAAGAGTGGAAAACTCTGAGCCTGAGAAGCTGAGAAAAGTCAGCCCAGGAGAAAAATTCATGAAGACACAGGGAGGCAAAGGGGTCTCTGACCTGGGGGCGGGGGGGGGGCAGGGAAGGAATTATTTGTGGCAGTGCATGTTCTTTTCTGCAGAATGTGAGCTGTAGATTCTCTGGCCAGGGCCTCTGGTTGGGAGACCTGTTGGAGTGACCTTGGCAGTGATCTTACAGGGAAAGACCCGAGGGAGGAATTGACTTTGCTTTTCAAAATTATTTCAGAACCCCTTTCCATAAAGATGGGTTTTCTTCATGCTGGGTTTTCATTGTCTTTTTTTTTTTTTTTTACCGTTATTAATTAGAACACACTCAATGTAAAACATTCAGAAAATTTACTGCTCATAACTGGAAGAATGGGCTTGAAGCGTTTTCATTTGTATTTTCCCAGTAAGCCTCGCTGACCTGTGGACAGACAGCATTTACAAGGGACCATCCATTTGCACGGGGGCTTGTTTCGCAGTTGAAGTTATTTCTAAAGGGGAAGAAACCTTACCCCCTCTAGTGTGGGTCTCCAGGTGACCACAGAAGATGGAACAAACCTGCACAGGCCCAAGTCCAGAGGATTAGGCAAGGCGACACTGCTGGGATGTGGGTGTGGGAAGTTAATTAGAGCAGCTTCTGGAAGCTCCAGGACCCAGAACCAGATGCTGCACTTATACAGAGGTCTTCTTCAGCCTCGGCATGTGCCACGGCAGTGCCCCCTGAATGTATGTGGTAGCTCCAGGCCCTGAGAGAAGCCAAAAGTCTGGGCACCCTTTGACCCATCTCAGAGCGGCTCTCAGGTCTGACCCAAATCAGTAAAGTGTCAGCAGCTGTGGCATCATCTGATGGCCTGGTCCCCCGTGTCCCTGGCCGCAGGGTGTGCCAGCAAAATTCAGAAAAAGATTGAAATCTAAGTACTGCTCCTTGGAACATGAGCCCGTGGAATCTGAGGCAAAGGTGAAAGAGACCTTGCGATCAGAGCCCTGGATTCAAGTCGGGGCCCTGCCCCTGGCAAACTGAGGACCCCTGTCCCGTCCCCGTGCAGATGCAGGCAGTGGTGCCGAGCGAGGGGGAGTAAGGGGGCTTCGCACCCCTCACCTTGCTGCAGCAGGTGAGAAGTCGATGGTACCAGCTTGCCAGGCTCTTTCCCTTGGCACTGGGGGCTCTGGCGTGGGCTCTAGTCCCTCCTTGTCCCGTGTCATTCTCTCCACCTCGAGGCTGTCGCAATTCCTCCCCAAGAACCAGCCGACATGGAGGCCATTCTTCTAGGTAGCTGCCCTCTTTTTCTGGGTTCACTTTGGGGTAGTAGGAATGCTTTGAGAAAGGGCACCCCAGACATACTCTTGTACTTAGAGACTCATCTGTTTATCTTCAGTCTGTTTCTGCTTCAGCAGATATCCTGAGCTGCTTGCATTTCTAATTTCCCGTCCCTTCTTTGCTTCGCCAACAAATCATAATGTGCCGATGTCCCAGACCTCGTTCTTTCTGGCTGCTTGTTATAAAATGCTCCTTGGTCCTGGCACGGTGGCTGTGCCAGGAATTCTGTTCCCAAGGAGGCACCTGGGTTATGGTCTCCGCCTGGAAGGATGTTATGTCCTCTCTCTACCTCTGTCTCCCTCTCCTGGGCCCATTAAGTTCAGTGTCAGGTCACCTTGCTTTGGCAGGGAGATCGGGAGGTGCTTCCCTTCTGAGGCTGGTAAGGGTGCCCGGGGCTGTGGTGGCCTCCCTGCCCCCCAGCTTGCTCCAGAGCAGAAACCCTTCTGGACCCTTTTGAACCAGCTAAGCATCTCTCATGGTTCGCTGCTTCTCTCTACCCCAGATAGATCCAGCAGTGGGGGCTGGCTGGGCGCTCAGTGGAGCAGCAGGTCTTTCTGCAGCTGCAGCTTGTATCCTGACATTTTCCTGCCCTGATTCCAGCCGATATTGAAGGCTGCGTAGCCGGAGCTGCACCAACCTATCGTCGTTCCTTGTCAGTCACGTTTTTGTTCCTGAGGTCCCGGTGCTCGGGCACTGTGCCAGATGCTGACAAAGCAGAGGCAGGTGGTAGTCCTGGAAGACCTCACAGACCCAGGGGAGGCTTACTTGACCACATACCTCATACCACCTGGTTCTCTGGGAAGGAAGGAGATGAAACCTGGGGGAGGTACAAAGGGACCAGTGGGCTCAGTGACTTATGAGGTGTCTGGGAGCTGCGCAGGCACCACTTTGCATCCACACTGTCCTTGCCACCCTGGCCTCTCCTCCTGAGAATGCTTCTGTTCTCACTCCCACGGCGTGAAACCAGCCCCTTGACAGTGGAGCACCCCTCCCCTGGTTGGAGGGTTCCTCCCCTTCCATGCTGTGGTGGCCCACGTCTGCTTGGTAGGATTTTAGCTGGTTTGCAACCTGCAGCTGACATTAACCATTTGGAAGAAATATGGTAAGATGAGCAAACAATTGCCAGACTTCATTGCTGCCCCTCTGCGATTCCATCTGTGCAGGCTTTTGTGGCATCTCAGTTGGCTTGGGAAGCTTGTTTTTGCCAAGGTTTTTATCACCAAGCAGGCGCCAGAGCGCTGTTCCACTCATAGTCCAGTTATGGCAAAGCTCAAACAATGAACCTGTGTGTTCCGCGTGTAAGAGTGTCCAAAGGGAATGCTTTTTCCCTTGCTAGGATCAAACTCCCGGCGCCCTTTGTGATATGTGAGACCTCAAGGAAGGTCTCTTCATTCCCAGACGCTGAAAAATGTGTTAGAACTAGAAAATGGTCACTGTGGCCCACCTGGGCCAGGTCTCTGGTTTTCCTTCCACTGCTCCATACACTTCACCACACAGATCCTACCCTGTGACTGATTGAGGGAACTGTTGCTGTGGGAGGCCAGCCGGTGGCATTTCCAGGCTGGGAGCAGAGCTGGTTTTGCCAGGATGCATTCCCCACCCTAAGGATTCTCTAGGGAAGGGGCAAAGCAAGTAAAAACAGGTGAGATGTAGTCTGATGCAGAACACTCCCCTGCCCCACTCCTGCCCCTTGCCCACAACAAAGGGCCCTTGGTCCTTCCTCCCAGCCACCCCTCTGCCCAGGCTGCATCTCCAGGGCTGTGGAGCCTGGACTCTGCCCCTCCCACAGCCCACTCCTTGCAGCGCACAGGAACTTGATACTAGGGAGGTTGGGGGAGAGAATAGTCAGTGCCCTAACCATGTCACCCCAGGGAGGTTTCTGAATCTGTCCTCACTTTTCCAAATGGAAGCATCTGGATGGAGGACCTAGAAGGGTCCCTTGGCTCTAACATCCCCTGAACTGTGGGTCTAGACTAGATTTCTAAATCTGCCTAGAGGGAAATTGAAGTTGAGGTGACAGTCCCTCTAAAGTAGCTGCTGATTCTCACCTAACCCATGAGTATGAGTCCTGAGCCATTTCAAGCCTCCAACCTCTGCCCAACCTGATGGAGATGCTAAGCTTGGGTCCTAATGAATGAGGCTTGTTCTAAAGCAGAAAACGATTTTGTTTCAGGCTGCATGTAGCTTCCCATGTCTTTACCAGATCACCACTCAGAATTGTCTCCCCTCCCTTCACCCTCTCCTCTCCTTTTCAAGATCACAAAGACAAGAGGGTAGAGCGTTCCACCTGGAGTGTTACTATCTTAAGGGGTGAACTCTGGATCCAGATGCCTGGGCTGAGTCCCTGCTTTTGCTACTTACTAATTGTGAGTCTCTCTGTGTGTCAGTTTCCTCAGCTACGAAGTGACTGTCGTCTCACAGAGCACCCATCTGGCAGGGGCTAGGCGAGGAGGAAACAAGCCCATCTAGTTCAGTGCTGCCGCCCCCTGAGTGTATGCAGATGCTAGCCGTGGTGGCGATGACCTCATCCTGTTGTAGCAGAGGGTGGTGGGAAGAGCCGGAGGCTTGGAGTCAGGAGGCCTGGGCCCAGGCCCCAGCTCTGCCACTTGCCTGTGACATGGTACAGATTCTGAACCTCAGAGTGTCTCAGTTTTCATAGCTGGAAAACGGCTGAAATCATATCTCCCCCCAGGGTGGCTGTGAGGACACAGGGGAATACTGCTGGCAAACTGCTTCACACCCACCAACCGCGCTAAGTCTGCTCTCTCTCCCCTTCCAGGCACACATTCTGGCAGTTCCGACATGAGAACCCCAAGACCCGGGTTGGGGGCCCACCCCCTGAGGGGCTCCCCGGCTTCAACAGTGGGGTGATGCTGCTGAACCTGGAGGCCATGCGCCAGTCCCCACTCTACAGCCGCCTGCTGGAGCCAGCCCAGGTGCAGCAGCTGGCTGACAAGTACCACTTCCGAGGTCACCTCGGGGACCAGGACTTCTTCACCATGATCGGCATGGAGCACCCCGAGCTCTTCCACGTACTGGACTGTACCTGGAACCGGCAGCTTTGCACCTGGTGGAGGGACCACGGCTACAGTGACGTCTTCGAGGCCTATTTCCGGTGCGAGGGCCACATCCGGATCTACCATGGGAACTGCAACACCCCTATCCCGGAGGTCTAGGTGCATTCTTGCCCACCGTGGCCTCAGGCCTCTGGGTCTGGGGGAAGGGGCACCTCTGGGACATGCCCCCAGGTGGTGTCTGAACTCCTTGAGAGACACTGCAGGGATGCCCTCTGTGATCAGGTGCTGCAGCTCTGCCACCCATGGGCTGCTGTCCTGAGGCCACCCAGTGACCAATGTCCTGCACACTGCTAGTGCTTGGGGACTTCTCCCTCCAGGGGACAGGCATCGTGAAGGCAAACGCAGGGACATCTTCCAGTGGGCTAGGAAGCGGGTGTTTGAAGAGAAGAAAGGAAAGAAAAACATGCCCTTTGCCTTCAACCCCCAGAGAATGGAAATCCTTTTAAGAACCAGGCTTTCTTGGACAAAATATAAATTTATTTTAAATTGATAGGCTTCCATTTTGAAAGAAAGAACAAACAGAACTTCTGCAGCTCCCAATGAGCTCTGAACCGGTGAGCCAGGGTTTCAACAACTGGCACAGATTTTAAGCATCCAAACGAACGCCCACCTTCCACATGTGCCCCGCAGGAGGCTGCGCTCCCACCCACGATGCTCACGTTGCCAGCTGCAGGTGGAAAGATTGCCACCTCTTTGGGGAGGGCCTTTAGTGCCCGCAGTGGCCCACATCACAAAACTGGCCTCATTATTGTAGCCTTCGCAGCTCTTACCTCCCAACTGCGTCATGGAACCTCAATATCCCTTAGCTGAGCCAGCTCCAGGTGACCAGACCGTGCTCAGAAATCATATCTGTCGTCAAAGAACAGAGGTCAGCCACCCCCAAGGACACGCAATGGGATTGTCTGGACTGGGAAGACTCATTCCAAATAGGAGCCTAGCATGCTCGAGCATGACTGTGTGGCTCAGGCGGGCTGTCGCTCTTGGGCCTGTAAGCATTCCAGTCTCTGCTTAAAAAATTCCTCCTCTGAACTTTCTCATTGCACCAGGTCAGACCTGTACCTTAGAAGAATTTAGGATATTTTAAAATTTCTTTTTTTAATGAATCCTCCTGTAAGTAAGCTGACACAGGAAGCCCCTAATAATCCATTTTGTAGAGTCCAGCTGAAGTCCTTGGGGAGGAGATGTGGTTGGATTTTCATCTTATTTTATTTCAGTTTCATTTACTTTTTTATTTCTTCTCATCATGAATGAGAATAATTAATAAATAATCTTGGAGAACACAGTGATGTATGTTGTTTGTGCTGTGCTGACAGTTTTCCGTTACATGAAGGTTCTGAATTGAGAAAATCAGTGTTGCTCAGTTTCCCTGTCCGCATGAGTGAGCTAAGTGAGCGGGTCCCGAGGACGGAGGGTGAGCATGCCCGGGGGGCACGGGGAGGGTCGTAGTGCTGCATAGGGTTCACGTCCGGAATCATTTTATTCTGGGTACTGGCAGGCCCTTCTGCTCCTGGAGCAAAACCACCCCACCCTTTCTCATTCTCTGTACCCCACACTGTCCCGTGACGTCATCCCCTGGCAAAGCGGAGCACATTTCTCTCCTGAATCTCAGCTCCCACAGAACTGGTCTGTGTCCTTAGGTACTTAATTTCCTATTTATAGCCACCAGTCATTGAATGCCTGCTGTGTACCAAGCCGTGCACTGGGGGATTTATATACACCATCAATAATTCTCATGAATACCTCATGAAGGTAATTAAAATTCTAAATTTATTGTAAGAAAATAATGAGCAATGTTGACAGATTTGCTGTTTGTCACAGCTTTTCTTTATAACAAAAAAATTGGGGCCAGCTTAAAATGTTGAATAGGGGAGGGGATAAATAATGTATGTACATCCATATAATGGAATACTTTAGGCATTAAAAATCATTATTTTGAAGAATATTTAATGTATTGGAAAATGCTTACAATATGCTATTAAGTAAAGAATGCAAACTATAGATTATATGTGCAGTATGTTCCTAATTTTATTTTTAAAATCCCATCTATGTGTGTATGTATGTATATATACATATATGTAGCTGTGTGTATATATATACATATGTGTATATGTGTATATGTAAAAAGAGAGAGCCTATTCTGCTATATTTTATTAGTTAAACTCTTAAAAAACCATATGTTTAAAATACCATTTTTAAAAAAAAACACCAATTATTTCAATGGGAAAAAAGTGGATAAAATGCTAAAGCATTTTAGACTCACAATAACAAAGGTATTTTTCCTGCGATAATTTCAATAATTAAAGTGTTTCTGTAGCTATGAGTATCTTTTATTGCAAGGGAAAAACAATAGACTGGTTGATCAAAATGGGAAAAAGCCAAACAAAATCTCCATATTTATTTTTGAGATCACTAACTCAGGAACTTTCCCCCTCCTCTGTCACCAGTGGCCTTGACCTTACAACTCCATGGTAAAAAACAAAGTAACTCAACAGGAAATCCCGTCAGACCACCAAGGCCACCATGTGCGCTTGTGCTTTTACCACGAGCAGCCTTCCAACAGATCCTGGCAGGCTGGTTCCTGATTGGGATCCTGTTATAATCAGTGCAGTGCGTACATATTAATTGTGCTGTGTTTAACTTGCCTTATAAAAACTTCCACTAGATCATATGCCTGCAGGTATGAATAGAACAGAAGTCTGAAAAGAGAGCATTTCTGGGTTGTAGGGTTAAGGTGCTTTTAATCTTCATCTGTATTTGCTTCTATATTTTCCATAGTAAATATTACTTTTATACGAAATAATAAATGCTATAGCACCCACCTTTCCCCCAATTACAGGTAAGTTTCACCCTGGCCACTTGACAGCTCACGGTTGGCCATGGTTACCATCACCCACAAGAAAACGTCATCCCGGCTAAGTAGGGTTTCCAACCTTCCCTATGGATGCCCTAATTCTCTAAATACAAGTGACCTAATGATAGCATCTCCACACTCTGCTCTCTTCTGATGTTGTCATCTTTTGTGTGTACACAAGTAATAATGGCCTTCGAAAAGATCATGGGCTTATAGATGAGATTTATTCTTGTATATGTGTCAAAACCAAACTGCAGCATCCCCTTCAATGGCACCTCAAGCCAGTGAGTGGCATGCTGGCTCAGGGGCCCTCAACCTAGAGCGCACCAGGAGTTTGTGGGTTAAGGGAGCAAGGGCAGCTGTGACTTGGCACCTGTTTGACGAAAAGCCAAACTTCTGCTCATTCTAAGACCTCCTGGCCTCCTGGCTGACCTCAGAGACTGGGCTGAATGTGGAGTTTGGCAGGACCAGCAGAGGTTTCTGAGAAAGCAGGGTGGTGTGGGAGAGAGAAACTTCTACCTAAGACAGAGCCTGGCTTTGAATCCAGGTTCTGCCCTCACTCCGTGGGCAAGCAAGGGCACCTCTTCCCCATTTATAAACAGGTGGTAAGGACGCCCTCAAAGGAGTGTTGGGAACCCCAGAGAAGAGAGTATAAGGGCCAGGGAAGCTGAGAAATAATTACACAGATATAAGGGAATTCATATAGTTACTACTTAAAACATTGTTTTTTAAAATTAAACTTATTGGGATGACATTGGTTAATAACATGTAAGTGTCAAGTGTGCGTTCTATAATACGTCACCTGTGTGCTCACCACCCAAAACCTGGTCTCCTCCCGCCACCATGTATTTGACTCCCTTTACTTTCTTCAGCCTCTCCCCGCATCACTTGCCCCTCTGGTGACCACCATACTGCTGACTGTGTCTGTGAGTTTGTTTAAAGCATTCTTTTAAAATAATAATTGACAGCCATTTGGGGCACATTAAACGGTTGGTGACGTCTCCCTAAGTCCAGACGCTTGTTTGTAGGCTGTCCTGCTACGTGTTAATTTGCACAGTGACCTCACCATCTATATAGTTTGTGAGCCCCTTGAGGACAGAGACCTTGCCAGTGTCACTGCATGTCCCCCAGCACCAGCTCGGGCTGGCACAGTGCAGGGGCCACAGGGCGAGGGGAGCGGTGTCCCCTGGGCGCGTGGGCACGCCTGCTGTTTGGTCTGGGGTGTGAGGGAAGCCAGGAGGTCCCAACACCTCCCTCCCACCTTTCCCTCCACTTTGTCCTCACCGTCATTTTTAACCTCAGGCATGAGGCTTGGGTACATGAGTGTCCTCAATCCATGACCCACCCGCCACTGCTCCCAGTTAGGCCCCTCTCTCGTTTTATTTATTCGTTCCCATTTATCACCATATCCCACTCCCATCCCCTAATACACAATCATTCTATTCTGCTTACTGTGTAATTTCTGTGTTCTTTCAAAATGATATTATTGTTTTGTGTGTATGTGCTGTAATTTGGGTAACTCTGAGAATATTCTCATCTCTTTCACTCAGCACTAGTTTTTAAGGTCCATCCCCATTATTACAGCCGCACCCTTACTCTGTGGTGTGCGCCTGCCACAGTCTACCTGCCCTCGCCCACACTGATGGACACCCACATAACCTGCCACCCACCTACTCACCCCCACCCCTCACATGTGACCCTGCCATGGACATCCCTGTCTTCGGTCCTTGTGGACCTGCTCAGGATTTCTTTGTGTTGTATATCCGGGAATTAAACAGCTGGTCATAAGATTTGCAGATACCTACATTTCTGTCTAAGTGATGTCCGTTGCTCCCCAGGGTGGTCACCCTTTCCCCACTTTCACCAGCACGAGCCCTCACTTTCTCTGCATGACTGAGCTCAGGCTCACGTGTGTCTGTCTGTGCATTGACACACATGTGGTCCTCTGATCATAAAGGAGTCCTCCAAAACGTGTGGCCTGAGCTAGAGCTGCCCTGTATGGGTGGTGCCATGTTGCCTCGGAGAGAAGCTGGATGGGAAGGCAGGGACCCTGGGTTCTGGTCCTAACCTCACTGTAGGACCTTGGCCAATGGGACCCAGCTCTGTGAAAATGGGAGAGTTCAGCGGGCTCCTGGCCTGGCCTCTCTCCCAGGATGGCCGTGATAGCAGGTAGGATAACTCACAGGAAAGTACTTTCAAGGCCCCAGGCATACGCTTGCTCCCTGGTGCTGCAGCCCATTCCCAGTGCCACAGGTGCTGTCTGGGTGGACGCTCCCAGCTTCCCTCCACGGAAGCTCTGTGACCAGCCCAGGCCCTGCCCAGGGGCATGTCCTAGCCATCTGGCCCCCCACCCAAGCTGCCCCAAGGGTAGCACCCAGTGTTTCCCCATTAGGGCACCCTGCCCTCTCTGGGAAGGCCTCCTCTCTCCCACCCAGGCAGCCAGCCCTCTGACTGTCACCCAGCCGGGGCCTGGCGCTTCCCGAGCACGGAATGCCTTTCTACAGGGTGCAAGGCCGGGACTGAGTCTCCCGAGCTGTGTGCAGAATGTCCATGCTCCCGGGGCATGCTGTCTGCGACGTGGTAATCTTCTGTTCTAGCGGCAGTCTGAGCCAGAAAGCGGCAGAATGTCAATAATCTGCCTAAAGGCTAAGTGAACACATGCTTTGAAAAATGTAAGTCCTTGTCCATGGTCATGGGCAGGCAGCTTCATGGTAAACTTGTGTCCCATCCTGTCCCACCTTTCAGAAAAATGAACCTTCTCTCTAACCCAGGAAGCCATGACAGCCTCCCCTCCAGGCATCCCTTTTGGGTGCCTCTGTGGTCTCTCCCCTCCTGCCTGCCTTCCCTCCCCCAGCCTCCTCCCCCAGGGATCCCCAGGATCCTCCTGCCACCCCACGATTTGAAATTTCCCATCTGGGGCTCCCACTGTCTCACCTTGGCCCCAAACCACTGTGTCTGTGGTCCCACACCACTCCCTGCCTCTCCCCACTGGGCTCTGCATCTGGAAAGAGGCTTAGATGGAGCTTTACAATGTCCTGTGGGGGGGGCGGGGAGCAGGCCGGGCAGGAAGAAGCTGAGCTGGGAGGCGGTCATGACGAAGGCGCCAGCCATCCCACGCAGCTCTAGAGCTAAGCGACCTTGCCGAGGAGCCTGGTTGGAGCCTGGGAGCGGAGCCTTCACTTCACGAGCTGCCCTGGGAGAGGCCTCCTTGGGGGAGGCAGCTCCTTTCAGCCGGGACAGCCCCTGGGAGGGCCTCAGCTCAGCCATCAGCGGCCCGCACTCCTGGGGAATGAGGCCATGTCCTGAGGGGGTCTAGGCAGTACCCCAGAGTCCACCATGGAGGCCCTGCCCCCACGTCCAGCTGCCCAAGGCCTCCTGCTGCTGCTTCCTCCTTGACTTTCCTCTG